CTTGAGAGGCTGAGGTGAGAGGATCACTTAAGCCCAGGAATTCCAGCTTGGATGGCAGAGCAAGACCCTGTCTCTTAAAAGAATAGTAAATAAGAAGTCAAACAAAGCTACACATCCCTAGAAAATAACAGGTAGAAAAGGCATGTTCGATAATAACCTGGCACTGCACTGAGAGGACATCTGTGTAGTCCTTTTCACTCTTTCCACATTCTGGATAATTTTTAATAGAAAAAAACAGGAGAATGGGACACTGGGACAGACTAGAGAGTTTTAAGAAGAGAGTGATCAAGTGTCAAATTCAACCACAACTTGACATTGGAACTTAGCTTGGGTCTAGAGGTTCGTTGGCCATTGTGACTTGGAAGAGACCAATGTCCATGAAGGCGAAGGCAGATTAGTGGTCGGAGTTGAGGCAGTGTGGACCACTCTTTTGAGAAGTTTGTGAAGGGGAGGCTAGTGGGCAGGGAAGGATATTAACAGTCTTCTAAAAGGTTCCTATTCAGGTTTTCTTTAACTCAAATTGGCCATTACCTCTCCTTTTTCCCTCCCTCTCCAACTCAGGGAGGAGGAGAATAAAAATAATAGAATCCTATCTCTCCCGGAGTAACACAGGGAAAAGCCATTAAAAGGTCATATGAGCTCCTAAAGTGAAATCGAATGCTACTGGAAGACTGGTAACAAGGTCCATGGCCTGAGGTGATGCCCTGCTGATTACAGCAGAGATGTTATTTAATGCGCTTTTACACTGGGCACACAACCCCCACATCCCACGCCCCTCAGTCGTAGTTAAGAAGTTTCCATAGTCACAGAGGTCATGAAGCAGCTGACCCTGGTGGGAGTACTGTATCCATGCCCCCTACTGGCTACATAGCTAAATTCCTAAAAGGACCATCTTTCCTCCCTTTCTCCGTTCCCCTCAGCTCCCTTGACCACTCAGCATCATGGACACCCTGTGCACCCTGCCATTTATAATGCCACACTCAGTTTTCCTTTTACCTCCCCCCGCTCCTGCTCCAGTGCCTTTGTGGGTTCTTTCTGTTCCCCCAACAGTAACAGTACATCAGGGCTTGATCCTGGGCCCTCTGTCTTCTCACCCATGCTTGCCACCCTGGACCGTCTCCTCATATGCATGCATGGCTTCCAACTCCACTGCCATCCACACCCCAAGGGCTCTCGCCTCTCCATTTGCAGTTCTTACCTCTCCTCTGAGCTCCAGACCCACATGTCCAACTGCCTCCTGGACGTCTTCCCTTGAATGTCTCAAGGCACCCCAGACTCAACCTGCCAGGTCCATTCCTGTGTTCCCTCCCTCCCTGATAGGCACAGTAGTCAGCACTCATCATTCAAAATCATCCATGCACTCGCATGGCAACTCAATTAATGTCTGTCTCTTGCTGTGGACTGTGAGAGCCATGACAGCAGGAACTGTGTTGGTTTGGCTTAGTGTCTAACTCAGTGTCTGGTTACAGAAAGCCCTGGACAAATATTGAAAGGATGGATGGACAAATGGACATATCCAAAGCGCGTGAGACCTTTGCCTACGCTAGATTTAGGAACATAGAGCACCGGATCTACCACCCCTCTTCACCAAATCCTAGACCAGGGCTACTCATGTCAACCCTTGCTGTTCATTAACATCACCTGGGGAACTGGAACGGTTATATACAAAATGATTCCAACTATACGACATTCTGGAAAAGGCAAATCTATGGAGACAGTGAAAAGATCAGTGGTTGTCAGAGGGAGGAGGGGGAGGGAGGAATGAACAGGTGGAGCATGGATTTTTAGGGCAGTGAAACTATTCTGTATGATACTGTAAGGGTGGATGTATGTCATTATACATTGTGAAAACCCATAGAATGTACAGCACAGAGTGAACCCTAATGTAAACTGTGAACTTTAGTTAATAATAATGTATTGATATTGGGTCATCAATTATACAACAAGTATACCCCAATGCAAGATGTTAGGGGAAACTCGGGGGCAGGAAGCAGAGTTTGAAGGGGTATATGGGAACTCTCTGTACTTTCTGCTCAATTTTTCTATAAACCTAAAACTTCTCAAAAAAAAAAAAAAGGTAAAGTCTATTAATTAAAAAAAAATCCTGACACCTAGACTATGTCCCAGACCATTTGAACCAGAATTTCCCAGGGTACAACCCAGGCATCAGGATTTAAAAACTCCCTAGGAGAGAGTAGCATGTTACCAGGTTGAGAACTAACTCATGCTTCAGACTGGATGGGGAATGGAGGGTGGGGTGGAGGGGGCAGACAGACCACGGTGGGTGGGGAGCCCTTCTCATCTTTGGGGTGGGTTTCCCAGGGAGGTAGGTGGATGTTGGCACAGATCCCCTTAAAGGAGAGGGGAGCACTTGAGGGCAAGCGGAGTCCTCTCCTTGTGAACGCTCCAGAGCCTTCATAATCCCTCTTGAACTCTGGGGGAAATCAAGTGAGAAGTGTAGCCAGTGCCCTGCAGTTTTGCACTTCCCCATTGATCCAGTTTCATTCCTTCAGTGTAGACCTGTGCGTAGGCCATGTGTATGTGTTGGGGATGGGGGGTGGGAGAGACCAAAGGACTAGGGGGGTCAAAGGGCAGAGGGCATCAGCCAATCACATGGGTCATGGCAAGGACAGTGACCAGACCTGCTGGGGTGGGGCTGAGTGAGTCCAGTAGTAGCAAGGAACAAGGAGCCCCGTGCGGAGGGCATCTGAGAGGCAATGCTACCCCGAGTGTGGGGCAGCAGCCCTCAGAAATCAAAGGGGACAGAAATTTGCTTTATACCTAATAGAGAGGCCTGAGCAAGTTTGTACGCTGAGGGGCAAGACACAGAGAACCAGAAAAGGCCAGAGGTAAACAGGCCAGGGAAAGGACTTCCTGAGAGATGCTCCTCGATTGGTCTTTAACACGGGGGAACAGTGAGGGGCAGGTATAAATAGTGAAAGTGACTCAGCCAGTTGGCAAAACTGTGATTCCTGCTTCCTGGCCCCAGTCTTGTAGGAAATGGGCCAGACACCAGACCACACACCACTGTGGACCATGGAAGGCTTCCCGGAGGAGGCAACTTGGAGGTGGTGGGGCCTATGCAGTTGAGAGGGCAGGGAGGCTGACCACACAAAGGGGGGATGGGCTAATGAATGATGAATTGGTTGGCTCGACCTGGACAGGGGCTGGCAGCTCACCCTGGACAGTGAGAAGACCCAGGCCTTTTCTGATGGCTCATCCTAGCTGGAGAAATGGATGTGTCTGAAGCCCTGGAGAGCAGAGCTATGTACGTGTGTCTAGGGGCATGGAAGCAAGCAGCACGGTGCCCTCAGAGGCCCAGTCCGGCAGGAGGCTGGAGCAGTGCACGGGGTCCTCGAGGGCCAGGGCTCTGTTCTGCGGTGAGACTAAGGACAGGCCCCTCCCCAGACCCTCCTGGTCTACTCCTGAGCCTCGGTGGACCCCCAGGCCCAGCACACCCTCCATGTGGCTCCCCTGGGGTCCCTTGGCAGAGCCCCAGTGCCCAGAGGCCAGCCAGAGACGGGCCTACTCGTTTGCCTAAACGGAGGCTGTGTGAGTGCCGCCTGCACGTGGTCAGGCGACTCTGTAACCTGAGGAATGTTTATGTGGGTCCCAGCATGTGTCCGGGTGTCCCCCTGGGAAAGTTGGAACCCTTGGTGGCCCTGGCCACCCTTCCTTCCTCTCCCTCAGGCTGAGACCACATAGGATATCAGGTCGGGGGGCAGAGACCAGGCAAAGGGTCTGTGGGATCCACAGTCCCAAAGCATCTCTGAGAGGCACCAGGCCTCTAACAGATTAATCTGACCCAAGGAGGGGGTCATGGGAGCCCCAACTCGAAGCTGGTCAGACAGAAGTTCCAGAGGCCTCAACTTGTGACTGGTGTCTGAAGTGGGGGCAGTCTTGGGGACTGAGCCCTCACCCTGGGGGAATCTGACACCATCACCAGGTAGAAAGCGTTACCATTGAAATGGAGGACACCCAGGTGGCGTCTGCTGCGGAACTGACTGCTTGCTTGGTGTGTGGGGAACTACCCTACGTATCTGATCACAGCAGTTTTCTGTGTCGATTGTTGTGCCGTGAGAGCAGAGGAAAACACAGTGTGTTTTTTCCATTCCAACCCCACAGAGGAGGTGCTATTATTCAAATTATACCAATAAGGAAACTGAGGCTCCTCCAGTGACTTGCCAAAGGTCACACAGTTATCAAGCAGCAAAGCTTGGATTCAAGCTCAAGGCTGTCTGACCTCAATGATGACTCTTTTCATCATGGCCCTGGAGGGGTTCAGGGTCCTGAAAGCCTGTACCAGTGCCCAGGGCTAAGCCGGCACAGGGAGGACACTGGGCTTGTGTCACAGGCATTCCTCTGAGGCTCCATGGGGACCTCTGCCCCATGAGGAGTGGTGACAGCTCTCACCCGGACCAGACGTCAGCCTTCCTGAGCCCCTGGGAAACAGACAGGTGCCCTTGGGGGTGGTCCACTGGCTCCCAGACACCCCATCCTTCCCAGGGAGGGACTGTAGGACCTACTCAGGGGTTTGAGTTGCATCCTGGACTCCCCCTCCTGAGCCACCCCTTCTCTCGCCCTGTCACCTCCCGCAAGGGTGCCTCACACCCTTCCAGAAAAGCCAGCAAAGCCAGCTGGTCCAGCCGGTGAGAAAGAACACATGCCAGATACGGGAAATGTATACACAAAGCCTTTTTTTTTTAACTCAAGAAAGGGCTTTTATTATTTTTAACTCACTTCCTGGGAAGTTAATTTTTAAAACACTCTTATGGAGTTTGTTCATCCCTTGTGCTACATTCAGAAACAGTGATGCCAACCAAAACCCTGAGTGATGGGTGCTGACATGGTGAAGCTGGGCCCACCTCTGAGCTCTCCAAGGGTGGGTCCAATCGATGTAGCCCCTGAAACCAGGAGCTCCCAGAGATGCTCAATGCCTTCCATGAACTCTATAAAAGTGTTCTTAAAAACAGTACCGAGTTATTTTTTAAGCCCTGGACCGTACCGCCTTAGTGCAGAGAAGCCAGGGAGAAATGTGGACCCATTGACAACGGGCCTCATTCTGCTCCTAGCCTTAAATAGACATAGAAACTATATTACAAATGCATGTACTGGTGCAAGACATGCGAGTGTGCTGTGTGCAGCAGATGGGCACGCACACGCATGTGTGCGTGGAGGCGCGACATATACCCACAGGCACAGAGATGCGGCAGGACACGGGCCCTCCCTCGGCCCAGCCTCCCTCTCCTCCAAACAAGCCCTCCTACAATACGACACCCACAGATGTGGCTGAAATCCTTTACCGAGCCCATGTTTCCAGAGGTATCTGAGTCCTGTGTTACTTCCCTTTGGAGGTCCACCTCTATGAGCATTTAGTCAGCCAATGCCATGCCAGCCAGCCAGACACTGATCTCAGAGACAAGACAGTCTGCTCCAGCGCGTCCACACACGCGCTCCAGCACTCCTGCTCTGAGCTGGTTGACCGCTGACTGTCCTGGGGCGAGGCAGTTGGCAAAGAGGCCACCCGCCAGTGTGCACACCCCTCCAGGGTTCTGTGTCAAGCAATGCCTCCAACCTGGGCAGTTTGTCCTTCATTGTGGGAACATTAGGGCAGCTTCCGGGTAGGCCAGTGTAGGATCAGAGAGTGGGTTCCAGTTACTCCAGCACATGCAAGGCCATGACCTACAAGTCCATGGCCCTGCTGTCTCTTCTGCAGCCTGGGCTCTGGGGAGCCATGCAGGGAGGGTGTGACACGGACAGGGGAGCTGCGGTGCCCCTGGCTCAGGCCTTTGCTCAGAGCTTGATTGAGTTCAGCCCATTTTCCAGATGGCACCAAATGCAAAACAATCCAGGCAGGTCAGTCGGTCCACTTGGCTGCCAGATAATGGTGGGGTGTGCTGGGGACCCCCCTAAGCTATAGGAAAGCTCATGAGATGCTCCCAAGTAGAGATCCTCCCCCCTGCCCCCAGGTTAAAAACAAAAGTAAAAGATAACAAAAAAGTGATCTGAATTCTCCAATACTGACCCTCTCCCCAGTGAGGCCCAGGAATACATCGAGGGGTCAGAGCCTCTATACCAGCGTTCTGTGTACCCTGAGTGGCAGGGTACCCCCCTCCGTGTGCGTGTGGCAGCTAAGCCAGGCCTGCCCAGCTCCCTGTGGAGGTCTCTTCAGTTGCAGTAAGCATCTTGGTCTCCTGCCTCCTGCCCTGGGCCTTGCCAACCAGCTGGGTGGGGTTTCTGGGGCTCCATGGGCACCTGGTTTCCCCACAGAATGGGTCAGGCCAGGAAGAGACAGAAGGTCTTGCGGGAGCCCTGCCCCCCAAACCCCAAATGACACATATTCCAATCCTGTCCCTGGACGTGCGCGCGTGGAGGTCATGCAGCACGACGGGGGGAGGTGGCCGGGAGAGGGGCCGCGGTCCCTAGCCCCCTGCCAGCGGGGGCAGCTGTCGCATGAGGGCGGTGGGCCTCTGGAGGCGCGGGATGAGTGTGCTGCCGGGCGGCCCTGGGCGCATGCAGGGGCTCAGGACGCAGCCTCGTCTTCTTGGACACCAGGGAGCTCTGGGCTCTTGCCCCCTTCACCATATCCTTCTTTCCTGTTCAGGGGACACAAGGGACAGAGTGACCTCAGGGCTCACAACGTGCATTCGGGGGACACTCACACACTCACAGACATTTGAATCCCATGATCTCTCACATCCCCTCACCCACTTCCCCAAGCCTGGCCTCCGTGTGGCCTCCCTGCATCCCTGGCAGCTGCCCACACCCTCCTGTGGTTCAGGCCTCTGGAGCCTCGGTGATCTGGCCCAGCTGAGTCCCCTCATCCTCAGGGCATCAGCCAGCTCAAGGGCCTTCAGTGCTGATCTCTGCCAGCCAACCTGGCTGGGTACAGGGGCTTTCGTTTTGCATATTCTCTGCCTTGTTCGCAGGGCAGAGTCTACCTCAGTCTCAGGATTCTGTTACACATCCAGCAGATATCTGTATCTGATTTCCCTCCACACACATCAAGATGTCTCTTTATAAAATAACCAATAAATGGGTTTTGATATCTTAACAAAGGACCAATCCCACTTAACTCTACTACAGAGTTTCAATAATTATCCCAAAGGATAAAAAACACATTCTATCAAGGACAAATACTGGGACTCCATGATGAGGTTAAATATGCTTTCAAAATTAAACTTGGGCCACAGAATTGCAGAATTTTATAACTGGAAAGTGTTAAGCCCAGTCTTCTCACAATCAGTTTACAGGGCGCAAATGAAGCACTAGAGGTCTTTATCCTGTGCCTGGCTTGTCGCACCACTAGGGGGCGCTGGGCCAAGGCTCCCGAGCTCAAGGGACCAGACATCCAGGTTTGCTGGGCACCATCCTGATTCTTCTGTTGTCCTGGCATGATTATTAATAGCTTCCCTGTTCACTCTCAAAAGTGGCCCCATTTGGATGTCAAATTATACATGTTCCTCCTACGCTAGGTGCAATTCCAGCATCAGGGGCCTGCAGATCTAGATGAGCTCAGGGAACTCCCTCCCCAAACCCAACCACCTCACTGAAGAGATGGAAACTGCGGCTCAGGACTGTCAGGCCTCTCCCAGGCCCCATGCCTCATTACGGGGACATCGCCGAGTGCAGGCAACCTCTGGCAGGAGCAGGAGCAGACACCAGCATGCCCAGTGTGATGGGGCCTCTGAAAAGCCCGCTTCCAGGAGGGAGGCCTCGCACAGAACCAGCATCCGGTGCCTGGACGGCACAGTAGGCGCTCTCCTTCCAGACAGCCCAGCATTGACCTCTCTGGGGGGCACGCCTTCACCACAGAGCAGGTGGGGGCACCACTCCCGCCAGCCCTCCTGCCTGCAGTGCCCGTCACAGGACAAAGGAAGGTGACCGCTGTCCCAGGATCGCATTCTGGCTCAGGACCTCACGACTTTCTCTCTGCAGGTCTGCGCACAAACTCCAGCCGGCCTCAGCATCCCAAACTGACTTTTACTGTGGTGGAAGAAGGTGGGAGAGATGAGGACGAGGCCACAGAGGTTTGGGGAACTGATTTTCTGGCCTCTCCCAGGAGGTAGTGACCCCACAGGCGTGGTTCACAGCAGGGAGCCTTCTGCACATGGCGGTTCCTCTCCCCAGGCCTGCCAGCCAGCCTGTCCACACGTGTCATGGGACAGGTGTTCACAAAGCACTGCCTGAGCACTCGGCTTCAGCAACAGCTGCAGGCAGCACTGCCCCCGGCCAGGCACAGTCAGCGCACAAGTGCCCCTCCCGGCACAGCAGCCTCCTGCAAGGAGCCAACACCAGCCCGTCTGCAAACCTCTGCCAGGCTGCCATCAGTTGAGGGGCCCCAGAGGACCGAGCTGGACGCAGTGGGAGAGTGTGACAATGTCAAGCTTCCAGGAGAAGATAGGTCTTCCTGTCCCATGGAGGGGCTGAGTGAGCTCCTCATCTCTGGAAGTCTGCGAGTGAGGGATGCTGGGCCACGAAGGTCCCTTCTGGCCCTAACTAGCCTTGGGGACCAAGGTGCAAACAGGGCCAACTCTGAGACTGGCCAAGGCCGCTGGCTCTGGGCCCGGCCCACCAGTACTTACATCAAGTTTCCGGGAGCGGACATGGATCGCTCTTCCCTCCGTGCTTGGGGCTCGAACGGGTTCCCAAAGGAACGCTTCCTCAGCATGGACTTCACCAGGATCTGGGAAGAACAGGTCAGCATAAGGAACACGGGCCCCTGGCTCCCAGACAGGCGAGGCAGCTCGCAGGCAGCCCCCACTCTGACTCCTTAGAGGGCGGCTGCCAGGTGGGCCCCGCTGGGGGTCCCGTTTCAATCGGCAGAGGAAATGACAGAAGCAATAGCACAGAGGGGTGGCTGCCGGGGGTGAACTCATGGAATGGCAAGGAGCCCGGTGCCACCTAGGGCGTGGGAGCAGAGGCCAGGACCAGACCATGAGGGGTCTACAACACCACGCTGAAAGCTTGAGGAGGGACAGGGCTGGAAGTGCCACTGGGAAACACCTTGTAGCTATGGAGGGAAGGACGGCCCGGAGGAGAGGCCGTGCCGGGCAGCGCAGGGAGGCCTGGGGAGCTGCCAGTGGCAGCGATGACCAAACCAGTGGGGGCTTCCAGGAGGGCAGCAGCTGCCGCACTCTGGCTCTCTGCCTTTGTCTCTTCTCCACAAGGAGGACAGTCCCACGTCAACTCACACACACGTGCACAGAGCCAATGGAGCACTCATCCTTTCACTCGCTCCCTCACTCACTCATTCATCCACCCATCCATTCATTCCATCAACACCGGTGTGTGCTAGCTAGACACTATTCTAAACACTGGGGCCACACTGAGGCCAAAATTCTTGCCCTCGTGGAGTTTAAATTCTAGGTGGGGGACAAGCAACAAATAAGACAAATCAGCAAAATATACAATGGGTTCGTCAGTGGTAAGGGCGAAAGAGAAAAAGGTAAAAGAAGGGAAGGGGATAAGGTGTGACACAGCGGGGGGCTGATGCTGTGGATAAGGGGCCAGGGAAGGCTCCTGCTCTGAGGAGGTGACTTTGGAGTGAGGACCTGAAGGGAGTGAGGACGTGAGTAGTGCGGCCGTCTGGGGAGGAGCTCCCAGGCAGAGGGAGAAGTCCCAAGGCTCCAGGGCGGCCGCTCTGGGGTGCCTGGCTGCAGCCAAGCACGTGGTGGGAGGGTCATGCAGGGCAGCGCGGGCTGTGGGTTTTGCCTGGGGAGGACACAGGAGCCTGAGTGAGCGAGCAGGGTCTGAGCTGAGAAGGGACATGCTCATGTCACCAGGACCATCCTGGCCACTGAGTGGAGCATTGACTTGGGGTTCATGTGGAAGCAGAGGACAACTTGGGAGGCTACTCTAGTGGTCTGGGAGAGAGTTGACGGTGGCTAAGACCAGGGAAGTGGCACTGGGGACCCTATGAAATTGGTTGGTTCCTAGGACACCAGTCACAGAACCAAGTAAACAAACGGAGCAGGCATTTAGCCAGCTTGTCCTAGCTGGGCCTGGACACACGGGGGCGGTGAAGTGCAAGGCCAGACCCCACCACCAGCAGTGACCCCGCACCCTCTCCTGGCCCTGTGCTTACCCTGACTCACTGTGATGCTCGGCAAAGGTACCCCAAGTCCCCCAAATGGCCATGGGGGACTATATTAATAACTTGCACTGTCAACATGGAAGATGTCTGGAGGAAGATGAGCAAAACTGAAAGGTGAGGGGAGACTGGAAGGAGACACGGTGCTGTCTCACTGACACGTGGGTTCTGGGGCCACTTCTGCAATTCAGAGGCTGGGCCTGTTCATGGCCGTGCCTTGGCACCCAGTGCAGTGCCTGGACAGCGGCAGAGTTCAGTGAACGTCTGGAAGGAAGGAAATGCTTCTTCCAGTCGTGGTGAATGATGCTACTCAGCAAGAGCGGCACATGTCTTTAAAGCATTGACTCTCCTCGCCACACCTCCTGGTCTTCCTGCCACGAGGCTGAAGGGCGTGGCCTTCGCCAGGGGACTCCGGAGGAATAGCGGCCCCAGTGGCCCAGTAACACAACTGGCTGACGTGCAGCCCTCCGTCCCCGCACAGGGCCAGGCACAGAGCAAGTCTTGGGCAGTGCACATGCCCCACCCAGGTCCTCCCGGGACAAGGGAGCCTTCCCCCTGCCCTCTTACCACTGTGGTCCAGCTGGGAATGAGCCTGACGGAGTTCTTCACCTCCTCCTCGGTCACCTCCACCACACTGCAGTGCTCCTCCTCTGAGGGAAGGGGCTCCTCCCCATTCTTGGTCACCCAGGGGTGCAACTGCGGAGGCCGGGAGGGCAGGGAGGGGTCAGGGTTGTGGGCGGATAGTCAGCAAGGGACTCCAGGCATTCTTCCAGCGTTGACCTCACAAACCCAAAACTCAAAACCCAAACCCGATACACACACGTCCTGGGGTAGGTCTCTACAGCAGGGGAAACAGGCCTGTGTTCTGTGTCCCAGCCCAACCCAAGACCTCCAGTTCCCCCACCTTGATGTCCGGCACCCCAATTCTTGTTTCCGGATTCTTGTCCAACATCTTCAGAATTAGGTCCTTGAGCTCCTCGCTGACCTCCGGCCTGGAGACGGGGAAGGAAGGAGCTGAGGGTGAGCCTGCTGACGAGGCCCCTGCCTGCCCACTTCTCCTCCCTGCCCTGTGACCAGAGACACACCAACTCTCATCCTCAGATGGGAGGACGGAGCCCCAGAGAGCAGGAGGGACATCCCTAAGGTGCCAGGCCAGAAGGGAGTTTCAGAACAAGTATGTGGCTATCCTTCCCTGAGTAGGAGGTAAAGTCTCCCACCAGGGCAGGAGCCACAAACAGACAGAGTTCCATGGGTGCGGGACACCCCCCTGGGCAGCAAAGATGGTGAGAACGCTGTGAGAAGAGTCGCTTTATGGGACACCAGGGACCCGCACTCCCGCTCACCATCTTATCCTTCCTGCACCTGGGAGGCGGCCAGGAAAAACCCTCTCTCATTTGACAGAGGAGGAAACTGAGGCCCAGAGCAGTTAGCAGGTTGGTACAGCGCCACCCAGCAGAGCACGGGCAGGGATGGGAGACTCGAGAGAAAGCAGCACAATCAGCCCATGTCGACCAGGACTGTCTCTGCCCAAACGGGCAGCCCATGCGTCCAGGCCCGTGTGGGAGGAACCCACTCTCGGGACAGCTGACTTTGGTCCCTCTGCTGTCTTAGATCCTTTATCCCTTGTAAACTCTTGGGCTCGGGAGAAAGCTATCTCTGGCAGGGCACAGCAGGAAGAAAGGCACAGAGACAGGAAATCAAAGGCTAGTTAGGAAACGGAAGCCAGTTGGCTGGGGCTTGGAGCAGGTAGCAGAACTCAAGGTCCTGGAATGCCAGGGCCGGGGCGTGGCCTCTGTCCTGGGGGCTGTGGGAAGCCTCAGGTAAACTTTCAGCAGGAGATACAGTCAAATCGTGTTGGCCGGACTGGAGGGAGGCCAGCAGCAGGGAGGCCAGAGAGGAGGTGGCTGGACCAGTCTGGGGAGAGGGCCTGAGGCCTGCACGGGGCAGGGGTGCAGGTGGAACGGATCCCAGACAGGTAAGACAGGGACTCAGCAGGGTGAGGGGACCAGACAGGAAGTGGACACAAGAGAGCAGGAGTCATTGAGGACAAGTCCCACTTCGGTTTCTGACCTGCTGTAGTCCTTGAGCAGAGGCTAGAGGGCCTCGAGAAATGAGGAGCCAGGAGCCCAGGCTGGCACAGAAGCAGCATGTGTGAGCAGGGACCCTCCCAGACAGTCTCCCTGGGCCCAGAGACCCCAGTCATAACGGGAGAAGCAGGGAGGAGAGAGTGGCTTCACATCCCAGCCCCACTGACAGCTCTCCTCTGAGCGTCCACCTTTCCCTCTGTGAAATGGGAAGCACGCTGGCACCCTGAAGGTCCCCCCACCCCACGTGCGACACGTGGAAGTTCCCCTGGAGTCCAGGGGCTGCGTGTGACTGGTGCCACCGACCCCATGTAGGCCTGCAGTGAAGGAGTGGTCTGGATGAGTGACCTGGGGTCATCCCCGCCCAACGCTGGGTCTCAGAGTTCCCATCCGTTCGATGACGTCTCAGAGACCCCGGTTCCACAGTCCCACCCCTCCACCTGCTCTGGCGCCCTTCCCAGGGAGCAGCACCCCCACCCCCAGGTCTGCAGGCTGGGGTGGGGTCTTCAAAGGGCAAAAGCTCTCCTAAAATTCAGGCCCCTCCTCCCCAGGAGAGGGTGGTAGCCCCACCGGTCCCCCAGGTGGGAACTCACTGCTCAGGAAACACCACAGCCTCATTCTTGATCTTCCTGTGCAGGGCCAGGATGTAGTCGTCGATGAACGGGCACTGCGGGGCAGAGGCACACAAAGGATGTCGGCCCAGGGCCTCGACCCGTGCCGGGGGGCCGGCCCTCATCCCCTGGGGGCCAGGGGTGGAGAGCAGCTCTGGGCCCCCCAATAGGTGGGAAGGACCTCGACTAGCGTGTTCAGGGCCTGGCACACCACAGGTGCTCAACAAACACTGGCTGAATGAACGAGTTGCTGAGGGAACTATGAGGCTGGGTGTACCCGCTGGCATTACAGCCACCTGCAGCCAGACCTCTGCTCCCAGGGCCTGGAGTTTGGAAACCTGATCACTGAGATTCCCTCCTGCCTCTCAGTGCGGTCACTAGAGTAGGAGCACTTGCAGACGGAGAATCTCGGTCATGGCAGTGTTGGATGTCCCCAAGGTCCAGCCTGACCCAGAGCAGGAGTAAAGGACGATGTGTTGAAGGAATGAACAACTGAGTGTCTGCACAGATGGATGAATGAATGGCACCGAGGGGCGAGGGACAGGGGCACTCTGGCTGGAGAGGGGCCTACATCACCATCTGCACCACCCCTTGGATGTCTGCTGTCCTCAGACGCCACGTGAATCCCTCCCAAGGGGATCAGAGAAAAACAGAAAAAGCCTCTTCTCCCTCAGCCTTCTCTGAGCCAGGTGGGCTCTTTCAAAAGCCACCTTCCAAAGGAAGTGGACACAAAAGAAGGGTCTGCATCTGTCACCCATGCCTGGCTCATGGGGTCCAGCACATGGTCTGGAGTCTGGGCCCGCCCCAGCTCCGCTGGCCTCCCCAGCACTCACCTTTCCATAGACAAAGCAGTACAGTGTGACTCCAGTGGCCCACACGTCCAAGGCCTAGAAAGAAACATGCTCACATCAGTCCCCCAAGAGGCACGGCCGCTCCCTGCCCACCCAGGTCCGGTGAGGTGTGGGAGAGGCCCTGCAGGGAACCTCCTTCTTCAATCATGTATTGATTCACTCAACAAACACTCCCAGGTGCGTGCTCCATGCTGGGCCCTGTGCTAAGCAGTGAGGACACAGGGATGACCAGAACAGGTCCCCTGCTCTCCAAGGGTCCTGAGTCTCTTGGGATAGACCCAAACCAGATATGTCTCCAACTCAACAGGTGCAAAGCCCCCTTTATCCACGGGGTCACGTTTGCCACCACCATGACACAGATGTACCGCAGGAATGATGGTATGTATCAAACTTACACTCACAAACCAGCTCTGGCTTCAGGGGGTCTTCCCTCCTCCTCACAATCCACCCTTTCTGACACCGGAAGCAGCCCCTGCGCACGCGGAGGCCCCGTCCCCTCCCCGCATCCCATGCCAGTGCCACAACTCCTCAAGGCTCCCAAGCACGACCGGGCTCCCCCACACTCTGGCTTCTAACGTGCTCTCTCCATCCCCCACCCCCAGGACCCCATCCCTCCTCCTGCTGTGCACTTTCTCTCTTACATGAGTGATTCTCAAATCTCCACCTACGCATTCCTGCCCCAGATGCATCATCTGAATCCAGCCAGGGAACACCAGACAAATGCAAACCGACAACACTCTGCAAAGTAACAGGCTTGTTCTCTTCAAAAATGCCAAGGTCAGGAAAGACAAAGAAAGGAGAGGAATTCTTCCAGATTAAAGGACACCAAAGAGACAAGACAAGTGAATGTGGCAAATGACCCTGGATTGGATCCAGGCCCAGAAAAAGAAAAAGTTATAAAGGACATTATTGGGACAGCTGATGAAGTTTAACTAAGGTCGGTAGATTATGTCAGTCTTATCAATGATCAATTTCCTGATTTTGATCATTGCACTGAGGTTATAGGAGACAATGTCCTTGTTCTGAGGAAATGTCCACTTACATATCGAGTGACAAACGGCATAGCGTCTCCAACTTAACTTCCAAATGGCTCGGAAAGATATAATATGAATACATATAAATAGAAAGAGATGACAAAAAAGCAAATGGGACAAAATGTTGATAATTGGTGAATCTGGGCAAAAAGATACATGGAATTTCTTTGTACTAGTCTTGCAACTTTTCTGTAAATTTAGAACTGTATCAAAATTAAAAGTTTTTAAAAATCCTTATCTGTGTCCCTGACCTTTCTTGGGCTCCACATCCACACGCGTGTGCAAAGGCCCCTCAGCCACGCTACAGCCTCCCTGGCGGGGTGCAGTGGGGCAATCATCGCTGGCTGCACAGATGAGAAGGGGCGCGAGCCCCGGGAAACACGCCGCCCCGTGTAACCCCTTGCTCGGAATGCTCTGCCTATGCCCCTGTCCCTTAGGGGGAAGCCCAAACTTCCAGCCCCTCCACACTCTGCCCCCACCCCTCAGTTCTCTTGTACATTCTCTGGGCTCTACCCCCTGCTCAGATCCTCCCTGCTCTTCAAGGCCAAGTTCAAAGCTTGCCACGTCCAAGATCTGAGAGGAGCCTCTGACATACCCTAAACACGAGCTCTCCTGCCCTTTTCACCATCCAGAAGGGCAGGAAGTAGGGCTGGTGTCGTTCTGCCTGTTCCATAGCCCAGCTCAGACCCCAGCACAGAGCAACTGGCAATAAATACCTGCAGGGGAGATTTGGGGCCATTTTGCTGGAAAACAAAGGCAGGCCAAAGGTGGGGAGTTTGTCAGGCTCCAAGGAAGAGGCAGATATGTCACTCCCTAGAGGCCTAGACACAAGGACCTCGGCATGTTCAGGTTGGAAACTAGGCCCCTGCCGCAAACTGTCCCACCCCTCCACCTGAACCCCAATCTGGCCCAGGGCCTGGAAGTCACCTTCCCACTGAAGCTCTGGCCAGATTCAGAAATGGCCTCAGGGGCCATGAATGCTGGGGTCCCGGCCGTACTGGACAGCTGAGCGTCGTTCCCCTCAAACTGGTTGCTGACACCGAAGTCGGCGATCTTCACGTGCCCATCATCCCCCAGGAGCAGGTTGGAGGGCTTGATGTCTCTGTGGACGATCTTCTGGCAGTGCACTGCAGAGAGAGGCGGCCTGAGCGCCGGCCTAGGGAATGGATGCCCAGCAACCCACACCTCCCTTGCCCAGCCAGGGAAGCTAGCCAGGGCATCCCAGCCCACGCACACTCCTATCTCAGAAGAGGACATCAGGGCCATCTGCTCCACTATGCAAGTGCAATCCAAGCTGTTAGCAGCAGAGCCAGGACTAGAATCTTAGGAGTCTTTGTACTCTAAGTCCAGTGCTCTCTCCGTGACAAACAAGGTGCCTGTTGCTGGTCAGGGATATCAGAGGAAACTGGGGGAAAGGAGCTCTCCATTGGCCGTCCCTGCTCCTCCCACATGAGTGCTGTCTGCAGGCCCGAAGCCTGTCACCACCCTACCCAGTTCTGTCCCCCACTCAGCCTGGCCAAGGATGTCCCTGCTCCTGGGACTGAGGGTTGGACTGTGGGAACTGCGGTACCCTACAGAGGCACTGTCTCAGCCCTAGGGATCTGGGCTGACAGCGTTTCATACAGGGAGGGCACCCCAAGCCTTGGGACCACCAGGATGAACATGGCTGGGCTGAGGGTCGGCCATCTCTAGCAGGCTGGGAGACCATCCTGATTCCTGGGTCCAGTACTGCCAGGAAGGGATGGGCAGCTCAGGCTGAGATGACCAGATATGTCCCAACCAAGAAACTGACCCCACCTCACTGCCATGTAGTTGTGGACTCCCTCTTTAGCAAATACTTTCCCCTGGACCAACAGACCCCAGGATGTTGGAAAGGAGGGGAGATAGAAAGAGAGAGAAGAGAGGAGGAGGAGAGGAAGGCTGAGGGCCAAAAAAGTGAGTGCCATACAACATCAACCACGGTACCAATGGCCCTTTATTGATGGCCTACTATGTGAGGGGCACACACGAGGAATCTGACACACACCCATCAGGGCACAGAAGCTCAGGGAGCTGGATATTCAACTGTGAAAAGTGGTCTCAAATTCTTTTTCTTTTCTTTTTTTGAGATAGGATCTCACTTTGTCACCCAGGCTGAGTACAGTGGTACAATCATAACTCACTGCACCCTCACACTCCTGGGCTCCAGTGACCCTCCCGCCTCAGCCTCCCAAGTAGCTGGGACAACAGGTGCACACCACCACACCTGGCTGATTTTTCTGTTTTTAGGGTCTCACTATATTGCTCAGGCTGGTCTCGAACTCCTGGCCTCAAGCCACCCTCCTGCCTCAGCCTCCCAGAGTGCTAGGACCACAGGAGTGAGCCTCTGTGTCTGGCTGAGGTCTCAAATTCTTATCTCGAACCCTAGCCTCCCCCCTCCACATGGCTCTTTATCCATGTGGATTTCCAATAGACATCTTGATAGACAGATAAATAGGTATATAAATAACTTGATTTCTCTGCCTACAATACCTTCCCCAACAAAAACAAACAGAAAACCCCTGCTCCTCCCCAGTCCTTCCCATTCAGCTAGAGGCAGATCAGCATTGCCAAAAACCTCAGGATCGTCCTCAACTTCTCCTTCTCTCAGTCCCCACGCCCAATGCATCAGCAAGTCCTACGAGCTCAACTTCTAAAATATATTCCCGGTCTGATGCTTCTCATCCCCTGCATTGCTGCATTAGCCCCCATGCACTAAGAACCAGGCCTGGGCCTCCCTGACACGGAGCCCTCTCAGGGCAGCTCTCCCTTCGTGGGGCCAGACTCACAAGGCAGGTCTTCAGCTCGCCATGCCCCTGCGTGTCCACCTGTCCAGCCCTCGGCACTACCCGATCCACTCCAGGGAAGCCCTTCACTGTGATTAGCTGGGTCCTGATGAGGCTTTCCCCAGTAACCAGATGAGATCAGCTTGTTTTGAGGGGACAGTGGATGGCAGACAGTAGGCCCTCAGCTGGGGAGAGGGGCCCAGAACAGGAAGGGGGTGGAGCCACACCAGCACAGGATCCGTGCCTGCCACAGACCATACCGAGAGTAAAACGTTCTCTCCCCATCTCACACCTCTAGGCTTTTGGTAGGGACTTTCTCCCAAGCCCTCCCCTGCGTGTGCCTCAGTTTTCCCATATGTATAAAGAGAGTATTAATCTGAGGGCACAGAAGAGGCTCAAGCAGGATAAAGACAGTCTTGTTCCTGTTACTGCAGGTCAAACCTCAGCTGGGTCCCCGCCCTGTTCCCCAGGGAGAGAATATGCTCCCAACAAACCAAACTAAGATTTTAGAGGGATGGGCGGCACCCCCGGCCCCCAACCCAGGCCAGCACCATAGATATCTACGGGCCCTCCTTTCCCCAGACCAGTCAGTCACCCTGTGCTGGCCACCCCACCTCCTTCCCATCCCCTCCCCACTGCCACTGTCCTAATCCAGGCCTCACCATCTGTCACTTGGGCTGTAGAAACAGCCTCCTCCCTGGCCAGCTGGCTGTCTCTCACCCTCCGATGACACTCTCAGATCCAGCCACCACACAGCTGCCAGACAGAGCTTTCTAAGGCGTAAATCCCAACACACCTCCCTGTTCACAGCCCTCGGGGCCTCGCACCGCTGACAAGATGAATTTGTGACAGTCCTCCATCGTGACAATCCTCCGGAGAGGCATTCCCAGCCCTGATGCTGTGGCCCAGACAGAGTTTCCAGTATCATCATTCATGAACCACCTTGCCCCCTGACCCTGCCCACGGGAGGCTTCAACCAGACTGAATGTCTCCCCAAACTCAAATAGTACACGCCCTGCTCCCCTCTGTGCCTCTGCCTGGCATAATGTCGCCCACTCCAATCCCCCAAAACCTCCAACGAACTCCTAGCCATCCTTCAGGACCCAAGTCACATGGAGTCTCTTCCAGGAAGCCTCTCCTGGCCTGGGTGCTCCTGTCCTTCCCCAGCCTTGGCAGGCACCACACTGTATTATCTGCCTGCTCAGTTTTCTGTCCCTCCCACTAAGCGGTGAGGTCAAATCTGGGTCTTTGTCGTCTCTGCCCACAGCCGCCACTTTGTAGGTACTCACAAATGAATGAAGTGAATGAATGAAATGAATGAGAGAAGAAGTAAATGAACTCCAGAGATAGCGGCTAAGCTAACTAACATCTGTTCTCCTGAGCTCTCATCACCCCAGGGCCCTTCATGGTTGAAAGCCCCCTGCCACCATCCACGGGCCCCATGCCAGGACACTCTACCCGGAGCAGCTGGACATAAATCCCTTCCTTCCCACATCTCTCGAGGACCTGTGGAGAGGCCATGCTTGGCTAAGAAAGCGGAGGAAAGATACAGACAGAACACCCAAGGCGCACACCGACCTGGTGCAGAGACCAGCACCACCCCCACCAGCGAAGGACCCGGCGCATGCCCAGTGAAACCTGCCGCCACCCCCATCCCGCCTGAAAGGCCTTGGGCCCCGCCTGCAGGCCCATGCCCCGCCCCCACTGCAGCTGATTGACAGATCCGCTCAGGACGGCTCCGAGCCGGCTCAGCTAGGCGGCTCCCAGATGCCCTAGCCTCAGCCCAGGGGTCAGGCAGCCCCTGACTCACAATACTCGAGGCCCAGGATGATGTCCCGCAGGTAGAGGCGAGCTTGTTCCTCGGGGAAGGGCTTGTCGCAGGGCACTTCCATGACGGGTCTATGGAGAAGGACGGGGGGAGGGGTGTTCAGCTGGAATCAAGATGTGAAAAGGTGGGCACAGGTGAAGGGGGACAGGGCTGGGCCGTTCAGGCCCTTGGGGACGTCCTGGGAATCCTATGCTCACATGGGTCCCTAGAACCCAAGATACTAGCTTTTTCTCCCATATAATGAAAACTGTAAAACACACATAGACATAAATATCCCATTTCAATCACTATAATTTCAAATCAGCTTTATCTTCATTTCTGATTGGCTTGGTATTCCTTCTTCTAAGTTATTTATCATCTATAATCAAACAATTGCAAAGATGCCATTTAGAGCAGGTTTTCAAACTGTGGATCCAGATCCAATAGAGGATCATGAAGTCAACTTAGTGGGTGGCAACTGCTTTTTTTCCCTAATGAAGTAGAATATATCAGAACGTATGACATGTGAAAAAGATATATACGGTTGTAGAACTTTGATTTCAGTTACAGATATGGATTGCAATATAAATATATATTTCGTGTTTTGAATAGAGTCCAAAACGTTTGAAAGCCCCTGAATCTTAAAGGGACACCCCTCCCTGCCTCCTTCCCCAAATTGGTCTTAGGAAGCCCCCCAGGCAGAGAGACAAGCCACAGCCTGCATTCAAGCCCTTGGCAGTGAGGGTCCCCATCCACCCAGCCCTGTGCCCACTACTCCATGTCAGCTGTTCTGTAAATACCCTGAAAAATCATACAGGAAAGACATCTGTTAGACCCTAGGCTCCATCAGTGACTTGCTGTGTGACCTTGAGCAAGCCATTTACTCTCTCTGATCCTCAGCTTTCTCTTTCATAAATGGGAGCAAATGGAGGAGTCCCACCCACTCAATTCGAGGCTTGTAAAGCTGAAAGAACCCTTTGTGATTTGAATACAAGGAAGATTTGAGTCCCACCTCTATACTTTTGCCTAAAAAACACTCATTTCTTCCCCTTCTCCTCCATCCAAATCTTCCCAGTTCTTCATGGCCTGGCGCAAAACCCACCCCCTCTTCCAGGGGCCTCGCTGACTATTCCAGCCTCACTGACCTCCACCGGCCTTCAAAGGATGGTCCTCTTGGTATCTCATTTACCCCCAAGACCAGAGCTCCCCAAGGGAAGGGCCTAGGTCTCTGATTTCTCCTAGAGTAGCTGACCCTTGGGCTGGGGACACAGGAAGGAAAGGAAGGCCTGGATTAGAAGTGACCTGCCTGATCGGGACGGGGAACTCACCCCTTTCTCAGGAGGTCAAACACTGAAAGAAAAGACAAGAAGGTAAGGTGTAGCTAGCTGGCAAAGCAGCCAATGCCAAGGTCCCTCCCTGTTCTGCAGGGTAGGAGAGGGGACAGGCATGCAGGCATACTGGAGGGAGGACAGGACAGGGAACCCAGGGTATCAGAGGAAATAAATGGATGAAAGTGGGGTCTGCTATGGACCTGCCTCATCTGCTCCCCAGGTGCCGGGTGAGGACCATCAGCATCAGCATAGACCCCTTTCACGGGGGGTGGGGGGGGACTGAGGCTCAGAGAAGGGGCAGAAATTTTCCTAAAGGTCACAGCAGATAGGCAAGTAGGGTAGGGAGTGGAGACTAAAGCCTTGGCCTCTAATTCCTAAGTTAGTTCTCCTTCTGCCCCATTTTCAGAGACCTCTTCTAAACCCAACCCTAAACCAGGCACAAGGAACTTAAATAACATTAATATTAACAAGGATAATAACTAATGTGTTTTGCATATAACTCATTTACTACTCACATCAACCCTATGAAACAAATACCATTATTATCTCTGTTTTATAGGTGAGGAAGCTAAGGCACAGAGCTACAGACAGGGTCTGGGAACCGACACAGCCTCTTCCCACATCTGCCTGAGTGCAGAGTCCAGAGCTGATTCATAGCCTTTCTGATCAGTGGGGAGCAGGGAGTGGGGACCTGGGAATATTTGTTGAATCTAACTGGATATCCTGGGCCTGGTTTGGCAGGGCCGGGCAAGGGAATCCAGGGTTTGAGCACGGGGTTTTTCCTCTGCCCCCAGGAGTTAGTACATTCACATGGCCCACCTGAAGGTCATGCGTGTCCCCAGGAGCCCTTGGACCAGCCCTAGGTGAGGTGCTATGGGAATGAGCTGGGTCACTCACCCAAATAGAGATTGTCCTCAGCTGGGTCATCCAGGACCTGGTTAGAGGGAGCAGACGTGGGGGTGGGGCACAGGGTTGGGGGGTCCCAGACCTCCTTGTCCTTGCCAGCTGCAGGACCCCTAGTATGCTCTGCACCCACCCCAGACAGTGAAGCAGGACCTGTACAGGGGTCAGACAGATGGGAGCCTTGGAAGTCACGGACCCCCAATTCTGGCCCATCACATGGCATCCAGCCCTTCTTCTTTCTTGCTGTGACAAGGGGCTCACTTCTTGCCTCTGGGGCAGCCCTTCACCCTCAATGAGAACTTGAGAACATCCCTGACCACCCTGAACTGACCCCCGAGGTTTCCCTGCAGCCCCACCCCAAGTCCGGCCCGGCTCTCAGAGGCCTCAGCCCTGCCACATCTGCCCCCCAGCACACGGGACTCAGGCTGGTTCTCCCCGCTCACCACTACCTCCTACCTCGATCAGTTTGACCACATTCACGTGGTCCAGCTTCTTCAGGATGGCAATCTCCTGGTACACTCGCTCCAGGGGCAGCAGCTGCTTGGCTGGTCCTCCCTGAGCAGCCTGAGACCCTCTCGGGGGAGGGCGACCTGTAACCAGGAAGGGGAGTCAAGCCCCTGTTCCAGGTGGCTGGGCCTCACCATGGACCTGCAACCAGCCTCAAGTGAGAATATTGTCCCAACCCACCAAGCACATTCCATCCCCAGGCTTTTACTTACACTGTCTCCCCACCTCCATTCCTAACCAAAACTAGCTAGAACTGAGGTCCTCTCCTCCTCTGACCCCCCCAGGCTAGGAGCTCCCAAGGACAGGACCAGATAGATACATACGTGGAAAGCCATACTGCTTTAGTAACTTCTTTTTGGAAAGAACTTTCATTGCCTAAGGAGGGAGGGACAGAAATATCATTTGTGTGCAGCCACCAGGGGCTAGAACAGGCTGGTTACATGTAAACTGAGGTCCAGAAAGACACACTGGACTTCTGCCACAACCGAGGGTGTGGCCCAGGTTAAGCTGGGTTAGGAGGTGGCCATATCTGAGTCTAGGCCTTCACTCTATTTCCCCAACAAGCCTCTGCTTGCATATCCCCAGGGTCAGGAGGCTCTTCCTTTTGCACACCCCTAAGGACAGGGAGCTCACTCTCTTCAGAGAAAGCCCTGTCCTCTATCTCCCCAGCACAACTTCTGCCCCACCCCCAGACTTCTAGGGCCTGGTGTGGGCAACACCTCCCCATATCCCCAGACTCACATAGTGTCTGTCTTCGCTTTCGTTGTACGCCAGCCTCACCACGCCGTAGGCACCCTGCAGATAGGCGCTGGTCAGCCCTGTCTGGACAGGGCAACCTCTCCTGGGCTAGCTCAGGTAATGGGGAGCACGAACAGCTCTGGTCCCTCCTCCTGCATCCCATCTCCGCTCCCACCACCAGCTGGCTCATGCACATAAATTTCAGGCAGATGGGGAGGGGATTCCTGTGCCCTGGTAACTGCCCTGCTTTGCTCGACACAGCCCCAGGCCCCCCTCAGTCCCTCCTTGTCATCCATCAAGAGCCCTGGGGGGGTCAAGAATCGGGGGTCATGTCCACCCTGGCTCTGCTTCACATTTCACATTCCCACCCACAGAGGAGAAGGAACAGAGCCAGGAAGAGAGTCCTCAAGCCCCCACTGCTCTTGGCCTGCCCCAGTCCTACCTTGCCAATCTCACTCTGCAGCTTGTACTGGTTCAGCTGCACGCAGTCCTGCGGGGGAAGGAGAGCTGAATCAGGCAGAGCTTGATCCAGAGGCGGCACTGCTCCCACCTCAGGCACCTGTTTGGGGCCCAGTCCCGGCGCCAGGCCCCTCATTCCCGGACCCCTTGGTCTCACCAGCCTTTTGAGTTTGGATGGGACAGTTGGTGGCGCCATCACCATCCTAAGTGATGAGAAGACTTGGATAGTGTTTGAAAAAATGAATGATGAAGCCATGGCTGTGCTTTGCTCCCTAGGAAGCAGTGAAGGGAAAATGCACTAATTCCTGCCTGGATTCTGGGGTCTGAGAGGCCCCCATCTGTGAGAAACCGACGAGCAAAATTTCCAGAAGCAGCTGGATAAGGAGGTTTAGACTGAAAGGACAAGAAAGACTCTGGAGCCTTGGGGCCAGAGACTGAGCGCCTTGGTTCAGGCACAAAAAGCTCGGCCTCTGAAATCTGTAGATTGCGTGGGATCCAAGTTCACTTTCAGATCTAAGTGGCAAGGACAAGGCCAGCAGGAGCCCAGAGGCTGGAAGCATGCTGGCTGCTTCTGAGTCAGAGCAGACTCTAAGGGACAGGATCAGAGGTGAGGGGCTCAAGCTGGGGAAGACCTAGGGCCAGGGAGACATATCATCATCTATCTTCAGATCTCTAAGAGGACTTTTTTTTTTTTTGAGATGGGGTCTCACCATTGCCCAGACCAGAGTACAGTGGCACGATCACAGCTCACTGAAACCTCCAACTCCCGGGCTCAAGTGATCCTCCTGCCTCAGCCTCCCAGGTGGCTAGGCCTAGACGCACGCATCACGCTCAGCTAATTTTTAAATTTTTTGTAGAGATGGGGGGGGGTCTCGCTATGCTGCCCAGGCTGTAAGAGGGCTTCTTAGAGGACAAGGCAGAGACCTATTTCCTGGGCCTGGGCTGGGGGTAGGAATGGCGGGACATATAGGAGACAGTCTTTTGCTCAGCTGGAGCTCCACTGGGTGAGAAGAGGCCATACTGTTAGGTAGTGAGCTCCCCAGCTCTGACAGTATACAAACCAAAGTTACATGGTTGTGTGGGGGTAGATGGGGGTAGAAAAGAACCTTCATTGAGGCCTACCGAAGGGCTCGTAAGCAACCCCTAGCTCTGCCCCACCAACCTCTGCGTCTGAGATGGCCACGTGGTGGGACTCTATGGTGGGCCTCCGCCAGGCCCTTGGGGAGATGTGGCTGATAGGCCCCGTGGCATAAGGCCCAGCCTGGGCCTCCAGGCAGCTTCCTGCTGGCCGCTCCTGCAGGGAGAACTTCCTAGCTGAGAGGCTGGGCCGGGCTGGGGGCGGTCTTGAAGCACTGCCAGGGATCACAGAAGCAGCTCTGGCCCGTGGCGGAGGGTCCACACCATTCCTGGCAGGCTCTGAGCCACCATCCTCCTCTTCCAAGTGGGCCACGTCGATGGCTGCCACCCGTTCTACCAGCTCTGCTCGAGGGTCCTGGCAGCAGACGGCTGGGCCCCCCTCCATTGCCTCAGTCCAGGGGGTTGTCCGTGTAGCCTTGTTGGGAACCTGAGAAAAGAGAGCAGAGAAGGCTTCACTCCTGGACATCAGGCTGGCTACGGGGCAAGGAGGGCAGATCTAAGCCCTTCTCCCCCTGTAGCCACAAGTCTCTGGATCCCACCTCCGTGCCTTTGCCCTGGCTGTTCCTTCTGCCTGGGCTGCCAGCACCCAACCTCAGGCCTGTCCCTGCTAACTGAGTGAATTCCAGGAACCAATCTGGCTGTGCTGCATGCCAGCCCTCCAGACCTCAGTATCCCTACCTGCAAAATAGGCACAGTCACTCCTGCCCACGGGCTCCACAGGGAAGCAGAGAGAATCTGATACTCCAGAGTCAGGACAGACAGACAGGGGCAGAAGACCCAGCAGCACTGGGAGGGGCAGAGTCTAGGGTCAAGTGAGTCCCCAAGGCATACAGCCCAGTGACTCACAAGCCCCACCCATTGACAGCAGAGCATTCCAACCTGCCTCTTGGAAGCTGAGCTGGGCACTGGTAATGCAGAGGCCTCCCTGATGCTGCAGCCCACCCACCTCCTCCAGGGAGGCCTCCCCGATACTTCAACCCCCTACCCCATCCCTCTCCCTGCTTCCAGGAAGACCTCCCCAGGGTTCCAGCGCTCCCACTCCTCTCGCCATCTCCAGGGCCATAGGGCAAGTCTCCCATTACTCTCTTCCCTTCCCCAGCAGAGCTTCCAGCCCAGGACAGGGTCATTTAGAGGGGACTGCTGCTTTGGTGGCTGTCAAGCAAGATTTCATTGCGCTAAAAGGTCATTCCTTATCTCTCCTGAGTTTTCCTTCCAGTTTGTTCATGTGGCCAAAATGTTTGCTATGTTTGCTCAGGCTGAGATACTGCCCCTGGCCTGGCCTCACGCCTACCCTGGACCTACTGCAGTCTGAGCCCCAAATCAACCTCCAGCCTTAGCCCCCGCCCTCATCTTCAGCCATGACCCTGGGCTACACCCAAATCTCCCCCCTCCCCCCAAACCCTGACACTCAGACTGGGACCCCACCTCTGTCCCAGGCTGATGTCCCCTCCCCCTTTCCTGGGCCAGACTCAACAATTTCTCAGGAAGAGGAAGTAAGTGGACTCCTGACCCTCTGTCCTTCCTGTATGGCGGTAACTTCCTCTGTACTCACACAGTGACTTTAAGAGCATGGGTCTCCTGGAGCGTCGAGTCTGTCTTACCCCTCGTTCCCACATCCCCTTGCTTTGACAGATGTCAAAGAGGCAGGGCTGGGTGGAGTCCACAGGCCACGGAGGAGCCTGGGCGGGTTTCCAGTCCTGCCCACCAGCCTATCCTAGGCAAGCTCCTTCCAGGCTCTGAGACTCAGTCTCCCCATCTGTGCTGTAGATGCTACATCTTCCCAGATTTCCCAGACCCACAGCAAAGTTAGGAGGTAGATTGTGGGTACAGGTGTTGTCCAGACCCCCTGTGCCTGGCACACAGCATGCTGAGTGAGCGGAAGCCTGGAGGCAGCGGAGCTGATGCTGACGTGCGGAAAGGAAGAGGGAAGGGCATCCAGACTGGCAGCAGGAAAAGGCATGGAAGCTGGGCCTAGAGGACTGAGGGGGGTTGGTGAGGCTGGAATATCAGGGAGGCCTCCCTGGAGGAGGTGGGAGGGGGCAGTGAGTGGGGGTGGAGCTTCAGGGAGGCTTTGGAAACCAGACCACTTGCAGGAAGGAGGAAGCCAAGGCTGACAGGAGCCCTCAGAGCCTGGCCAGGCTCCTCCCAGTAGGTGGCCCAGCCCTCCGCCCCTCCCCTCACTCTGTAGGCCTCGTTTCTCCCACCGGAATATAAGCTCCATGAGCTTAGGCCTCTCGTCTGCCTTGTCTCCGAATCAGCAGTGTCTTCAGCAGTGCCTGGCACATAATAGGAGCTCGATAAATATTTGTAGAATAAATGAGTGGTTGCCATAGTGATCATTACAGCCCTGTCCCCACTAGATGGATGAGAGAGCAGCCTGAGAGAGGGTACCCCAACAAGCCTCAGGCCCCAGTCCACATCAGGGAATGAACCAGTCAGCAGCTCCCACTCTTTGGTCCCAGGCAGGGGCCAAGGGACTTAGAGCCCCCACAGGCAGAAGCCACAGGCTGTAGGGCCCATAAAATTCGCGTATGATTTCCCTGAGGTTGCTATCCCAGCAAGAGGCCCTCCTTCAGTCTCTAGCTCCCTTCCCTCCTTTCTCAGATGGGGAAAGTGAGGCCCAGCAGGGGCGGCTGGGCCTGGGATCACACAGAGCAGGTGGCTTCCTGTTCCAGCCTGGGGCCCTGTTACCTGGTTTGGTGCCCAGGCTCTGTGTCTTGGTGGCCGGCCAGGCCGTGCCCCTTCCTGGCTGTGAGTCCCTGGGCAGGTGACTCTGCCTCTGTGCCCTGGGTTTTCCTCATCTGCAAAATGGGGCTAACAGCCCTCCCTGGGCGTTTGAGGGGTGAAGGAGTGAATGCCCACAAGAGACGCAGAACAGGACCTGCCACTCAGGAAGCTCTGCGAAAGGGAGTTGTTGTGCTGCTGTTGTGATTGCCTGGGACACGCTGTGGCCCAGATGGATGCGCGGGCGGGTGGAAGGCGGCTGTGAGAGCTGACGTCAGGCCCTCCATCCCTCCCTCCCGCCTGGATCAAATTCAGGTGACTAAGCGCGTCTGTGAGGGAGGCGGCCCAGGGAGGCCCGAGGTTCCTGCCGCGTGTCTGGGCGACAGGGCCTGGCGCCCGAAGCCGTGCGTCTGAGGGCATGCATCCGCGCGTGAGACTGAGCTGTGGGCCTGGGGAGACGGCGTGTGTCTGTGTTCGCACACAGGAGCGCATCTGCATGGAGACAGAAATCTCAGTGTGGTCGGTGTGTGTGTACAAGTGTGTTCACGTGCACTTGGAAGCTGCATGCACATGGGCCCTAGGATGGGGGTGGGGGCCTGCACCCCCTGGGGCCCATGGGAGCCTGATCCCAGACGCCTGGGGCTGCCTGTTGGGCTAGACTGTGTGTCCCCAAGGGGTCTTTCAAGACCCTTCCCAAGCTGAGGCCTCAGCAGACCCTTTGTATAAACTGACTCAGTGACTAACTAGGGGCCACGTGGGCAAACAGAAAGATGGACAGACAGGCTGGGACCTGGGCCCAGCAAGGGCTCCCAGGGGCATGGGGAGCTTCCCAGGGACTGGCCTAGTCCTGTGGCCAAATAGCCAGACTCAGGCCCTCCCTCACTGGAAAATGCTACTCCAACACTGTCCTCCCAGACGGTGCTTTGCTGCCTTGCACAAGTCATTGAGCCTCTTGGAGCCCCAGTTTCCTCATGTGGAATCGGACAGATGGCCACCATCCTGCCAGCTCAGGGCTCCGGGGAGAAGTGAACGAGGTTGTGGATACAGAAGCGGTGTGTGCCACAACGTTGTGGGGCTGGGATGTGTCTGCGTCTAGAAGGCACCGAGACAGAGCCTTGATGTACAAAGGACAACCCCGTATCTGCCCTCGGGCTCCAGGATGGCCTGGCACATCCACTCCACCCAGGCTGTGCCCCACCCCCAGGGTCTGGCCACTCTCGGGGATGCAGGCCAAGTGGATGTCCACTTGGCCTGGTCTCCTCCTCCTCAGGACATGCCCCATCCACCTGCGTCCCTCACTGGAGGCCCAGAGCAGGACAGATCAGGTCACCCCTGCTGTCTTCCATGCTGGTTCAAGCAGCCCTGCCTGGGAAGACTTTAGCACCGGTCAAGCCTCAATCTGAGTTCTGGAAGGCTGCTGTGGACCCCAGCGCCAGGCAAGGCAGGGGATCAGCTACTGGCCAGGCAGATAGGATGAGTGGCCCTGACCAGGAGACCATCCGGAAGGGAAAGCCACAAGGAGGTGGTAGCCACCCGGGCCAGACACAGAAGCTGGTCCGGACATCCCTGGGCCGCCTCACTGGAGCTGTGTTTATGCTCCTGACAAGTGTCTGGATGTCCCTGGCAACGGGTGCCCTCCACAGCTCCCGCCCCTGCCTAGGATGACTCAGTCCCCTTGAGGGAGGCCCAGGCGTCTGGTGCCAAGTCATGCTTGAGGACGCCTGCTGTGAGGACGCCCCCTCCCACCATCCCTGGGGAGCCCCCGAGCACTGAGGTGGGCTCTGTGCCTGACTCAGCACAGCTATCCTCAGTGCATCCTCTCGGCCCACCCCTGGAGGCTGCCAGTCTCCGGGATTCATCCTCTCCCTCTGCTCCTCCTCATCCTCCACATGAGGTCTGTGCCTCCAGCCCAACTCTTCCAGCGAGCTGCCTCCTGCCCCTCCCTGTTCCTGAGCAGCTCAGATCCAACGGGGCCCAAATGCAACTCACCATCTTCCCCCAACTCTGCTCTTCCTCCTCTGTCCCCATCACAGACATGGGTACTGCACCCTCCAGCTCTTGCCAGACCCAGGCCCCAGATCCAGGCACCCTCCTTAGCACTTACCCTCTCCTTCTCACTCATCCTTGCTCCCCCCCACCCCACACTTACTCTCCACTCCAGACACACCACACTATTCACAGCTTCCCAAACTGTGGACTCTGTCCTGCTGCCAGGCCTTTGTACAAGCTGTGCCTTCTGCCAGGAACACACCTCCCTCTCCTTTGCTGCCTGGAGGACGGCTCAGACACCGCCCCCTTCGAGGGCCCTTCCTGATCCCCCACTACTGGCTGGGCGAGCCCACCAAGTTGAGCCCCTTAAAAAGTCTAGATTCTGACCTCCACTTTCCCACTGCCTCCGCCACACGAGTGTGCCCTGCCTCCAGGCTCACACCCCCTCCCCTCCCTACCCCATCCTCCACACCAGTTGCTAGAGGGAGGATTTCTAACATGCAAATATGGCCATAGTTCTCTTAGACCTGGCTTTCCAGGAACTTGGAATCTGGGGGACAGAGGAGCAGGAGACCTAGCCTCAGACTGGGGGCTCACAGGCTGGAGAGCAGCCAGGGACATAGACTCCTCGGATGCAAATCCACGGTCACTCATTCATGCAATAAATATTCATCAAGCACGTGCCAGGCATCGTGCTAGGTGC